CTAGTCTCTCCTGATATCTAGCCTGAATTTACTCTCCATCAACTTATGGCCATTATTCCTTGTTACTCCTGGTACTGCTTGGGGGGACAGGGACTCTCCCATTGCCTGCTGGTCCCCCTTGGCCAGTTTATAGACAGCCACCAGATCCCCTCTCAGTCTTCTCTTGTGAAGGCTGAACAGATTCAGGTCCCGTAGCCTTTCCTCGTAGGGGCCTGCCTTGCTGCCCCCTGATCATGTGAGTGGCCCTCCTCTGGACACTCTCCATGTTGTCCACATCCCTCCTGAAGTGCGGCACCCAGAACTGGATGCAGTACTCTGACTTTGGCCCAAACAATGTTAGGAAGAACCTACTTTCTAAACCTTCATCTGTCAAGTGTCAGATTGCAAATGATTTTGTTAATGGCTCTTGACCCTGGAGAAATGTAAAATTCATTGGTTGAAGACTTGAATATCATAGTTCATAGTTTCATAGTTGGTAGGGTCGGAAGGGACCTGAGCAGATCATCAAGTCCGACCCCCTGCCATGGGCAGGAAAGAATGCTGGGGTCAAATGATCCCGGCAAGGTGTCTATGTAACCTCCTTTTGAAGACCCCCACGGTAGAAGCGAGCACCACTTCCCTTGGAAGTTGGTTCCAGATCCTAGCTGCCCTGACTGTGAAGTAGCGCCTCCTGATGTCTGGTCTGAATCTACTCTCTATCAACTTATGGCCATTATTCCTTGTTATTCCCAGTAGTGCTGATGAAAATGTTGAACAGTGTGGGTCTGAGGACCGAGCCCTGGGGGACCCCACTGCCCACATCCCTCCAGGTCAAAAATGACCCGTCCACCACCACTCTCTGGGTGCAGCCCTCCAGCCATTTGGCAACCCATTTGACTGTGTAGGCATCAACACCACAATCTCCTAATTTTTTAATGAGAATGGGGTGAGAGGCAGTGTTGAAGGCCTTCCTAAAGTCCAGAAAGACTACGTCCACCGTGACACCTGCGTCCAAGGATTTTGTGACCTGGTCATAGAAGGCCACCAGGTTGGTCTGACAGGACCTGCCTCTAATGAACCCATGTTGGTTGCCCCTAAGCATACACTCCCCTGCTTGCCCCTCGCAGATGTGCACCTGGATAATTTTCTCAAAGAGCTTTCCCAGGACTGAGGTAAGACTAACAGGCCTATAATTTCCTGGGTCCTCTGTCCTCCCTTTTTTGGAAGTGGGTACCACACTGGCCCTTTTCCAGTCCTCTGGCACCTCACCAGAGCACCACAAGTGCTCTTAAAGCTGTGCCAGGGGTCCTGCAATGACCTCTGATAATTCCCTCAGCACTCTGGTGTGGAGATCATCAGGTCCTGCTGATTTGAACATGTCCAGTCCCACCAGAAGTTCCCTGACTAGGTCCTCTCTGACCCTGGGCCTGGCCATGCCTCCCTTGGGACCATTGGGGATCCTGGTGGGGGGGGGATGACCTGGTCCCTGCTTAGAAAAATGGAGGCAAAGAAATTGTTAAATAGGTTAGCTTTGTCATCTGGTGAGACCACCAGATTTCCAAGTGTGTCCTGCAGAGGCCCCACATTACCCGGAACCTTCTTTTTAGCCCCTATTTATTTAAAAAAGGATTTCTTGTTATCCTTGATCTGGGTTGCTAGTCCCAGTTCCATCTCCATCTTGGCCTTCCTAACAGCCCCCCTACAATACTGAGCAATGGAGGTATAGTCCTCCCTGGTGATGGCCCCTCCCTTCCATTGGGTGTATGCCTCCTTCTTAGCTTTGAGACATTCCTGGATGCTTTTGGTGAGCCACGGGGGCTTTTGAGCACTCTTGCCCCCTTTGATCCGTGCTGGGATTGCTACTCTTTGGGCTTGGAGGATCGTCTCCTTCAGGAACTCTTCTTGGACTCCCAACTCCCCACCCCTCCGGGACCTCAGTGCCTCCCTGACTAGTCTCCTTAGCTCAATGAAATCCACCCTCCTGAAGTCTAGGGCTGCTGTCTTGCTGCAGACCTTTGCCACCCTGCGCTGGATAGTGAAATCAAATAGGCGATGATTGCTTTCGCCCAGGTGATCGAGCACCCGCAGTCCCCTCACCAGGTTGTCGCTTGTGGCCAGGACCAGGTCTAACAAGGCATTTCCCCTGGTGGGACTGCGTACCTCCTGGGTTAGATGGAGGTCCTGTAACATGGCTAGGAACCTACGTGAGCAGTCAGACCTGTCGGAACCTACGTGAGCAGAGCAGACCTGTCTGACTGCTCTTGCCAGCAAATGTCCAGATAGTTTAGGTCACCCATGATGACCACATCCTTTGACTTAACTGCCTCTACGAGCTGACCTGAGAATTCCCTGTCTAGCTCTTCTCCCTGGTTGGGTGGTCTGTAGTAGACTCCCACTGTTATGTCCCTTTCCCCCCAACCCCCTTGTATTCTGACCCAGAGCACTTCAGTCTGCCCCTCCTCTGACCCAGTGCTGCTCGTTGAGGATGTGAATTGTTCTTTGACATAGAGCACCAGACCCCTGCCTTTCCTCCCTGTTCTATTCCTCCTGTTCAGCCTATAGCCCTTGATGTTCGCTGCCTAGTCATGCGTTGGATCCCACCACGTTTTGCTGAGTCCCACTATGTCTGGGCTTGTGTTAGCTAGTAGGAGGGCAAGTTCCTCCTGCTTGTTCTCCATACTATGAGCATTAGTGTATAGGCATTTAAGGCCTCCTGAAGGTGTATGTACCACCCTGCTAATCCCAGGACTATCTGGGTCTCTCACCTGGGTATTTCTTGTGCTCGTCATCAGTCTTGGCTAGGCTGTTCTTGTAGGCAACTCTTGGTTTAGTGTTCCGAGGCTCCCTCCAACCTCATCCTCCCCTTCCCCCAATAAGTCTAGTTTTCCAGCATCTCTCCATCTCCATCTTTGGCCACAGAGGCTCTGGCCTTACCTTCAAGGCCAGTTGGAACCTCAGGCCCTTGGCTCTGGGTTTCCCTCATGGTGGCCCCCTGGCCCTTTTGACTCTTCTGGTCCTGGCCCCAGCATCGACCAGTCAAGGGGTCAGGACCCTTGACTGCTTCAAGTCATGCTTCTGAGCAAGCAGTCCATATTCTCTTACATTGGTCCGCCTTCTCAGACCCTACTATGGGGTTACACCTGGTTGTGGGAGCTAGGGTTATGAAACGCCACCAGGAGCCCCACCAGGCCACCCATCCCCAGCAGGGTACAGTTTTAGATCATACCCAGGACCAGGAGCCTCCTCCATCCCCATATCCCCAACCCATAAACCTCCCAGCTGTTCCTGAGCCTCAGCTCCACCAGCTGATGTCTCTCACAGAGCTACCAGCCACAAACTTCTGCTTCACCCTATATATATTGTGGGTCTCAAAATGGCTGCTGTACTCAAGCACCTGGCTGCTGTCTGCTCCAGCCCTTAAAGTGGCAGGCACCAACACTGCCCTGCCACAGTATACAAGAAAATACAGTACTTAAAAAGGAACAAATATAACATTAAAAAAAATTGCAAATGTATATCCATCTTGAGTATTTACACATGAGTAGCCCTGAAAGATAATGGAGGAGTATAAAAAAAGCCCCCAAAACCCAGAATTATCAATTGAATTATGCGGGTTTTTTTCCTTCACATGGATTTCTCTGTATCTTCACTCCTAAGTATCTGTGTCTGTGCAACCTGATTAATACTATCATAGGGAGTTGTGAGATCATTTTTTTTTCTTTATGTCCTTTCTTTATACTAGAAAGTATCTATGACTTCAGGACTTGTGTGGGGGGTGAGGGGGAACCAAAATTGAGCTAAATTAAATCAGATATGGAAAAGGATGAGCTTTACTCAAGGATGTCTACTCTGATCTTTTGATGTCCAATAAAAGTCCCCAAAGGTACAATTGATGCTTATGGTTCTAGCAATTTAATATGTAATTGTTCTATTCATAATCTGAAGTAGAATACATTAGGCAAAGCTGAGCAACCAGTGAACCTTTTCAAACTGAAGTTGTTCCCTGGTGATACCTGCAGTCCCTATGCATACAGAACCTGATTGACTTCTCAACCTTTCCCTAACTTATCTACTGAATTACTCCTACCTTATATACTGAATTCATATAGTTGAACTCTGTTTTTTCAATGAAAGGGACTTCTGGAATTCTCCTCATCTGTCAGTGCTATTCCAGATGAACTAAGTTATTCTGCTGAATTTCCAATCTACACAAATATAATAGTTTGGAAACTTTCTTTTTCTAAATGCACAGTCATTGGTCCACAGAATAAATTCCTGCTCAGAAGATCATTCCAAAGCAGCCTCGAGCCAAGGAGTGACGCAAGGAGAAGCCCCATGCCGGGGAGCAATACCGGCAGCCCCAAGCTGGGGAGAGACGGGGGGAGGAGCCCTGAGCCAGGGAGCAAAGCTGGCAGCCTTGAGCCAGGGAGAGACAGGGGAGCAGCCCCAAGACAGGAAGAATTGTTAATGCATAGGGGATGCATGTGAGATGGGCTGTGCACCCCCTGCAAGTGCCAGCTGTGAAACCAGAAATGCGAGTGAAAGTGCACTTCCAGTTTCATCAGTTTCACCACTGGCTCAGCTATTGGCTGCTGGGGGACTCCCCCTCTCCAGTCGGTGATCTGGTGCCCCCACAGACTTGGGAGGCACCAGTTGCCCATGCCAGGGAGAGATGGAAAGATGCTGGAAAGAGTAGCAAGGGAGGAAATGACCAGGGGGCATGGCCAGAAAAAAACAAAAGACTGACACTGGAGCCCAGGAGGGAGAAGAGAGAGTGTGCATACCATGGAAAGGAGGAGTATGAAGAACAGCCAAGAAGCAGGTTGTAGAAGAGCCCCAGGGAGCAGGGGGACAAAGGAGGGTTGAGCAACAGTTGACGCTAGAGGCCAAGAGGAGCCCCACAGTCAGGTAAGAGACACACTGGAGGCTAGTCAGAGGGAGTGACAGTCCAGTGGTGATGACTGGAATGCAGGGGGAAAAAAAATAAAAATTAATGTAGGTTTAAACATAAGAGCTGCAGGCAGTGGTTAAAACAGGACTTTATTTTGCATGTTTATATTTTGGTCCAAACTGGACTTTTTTTATTTAGTGTTGTTGCACTGTTTCATTTTTTATTAGTATCCTGAAGGAATCATGGGTGTCAGGTAGTGCGAGGCAGGGGTACAGGGGATGGTGGAGCCCCAATTTTTCTGTTGAGTATTTTTCACATCAGTAAATGTTTTCTTCTTCTCTGTATTATGGTGAACATCTTCCCATTGAGGACAGTGTGTACACAACCCTGTAATAAGAGCAGAATACTTACCATCAAAGTCATGGCAGGAAAGTTTTATTATCAACAGGGAAGGGTTAAGAGTGATATAAGTCCCCTTACCCATTGTAACAGAAGAAAAGACATCATCTCGGAAAGGGCACAAGCCCCATAGGACCTACTGCTGACAGCTGCCTGTGCCTGAAAACTTACAAATAAATATTTTTTTTTCAAACGTGTAGTTGGTCTAATAAAAGATACCACTTCTACCACCAGTTCTGATTCTTTTTGCTTCTGGACCAGTATGGCTACAACCTGGATGCCAGTCATTGGCCCCAAATTCTTCCATGGCTCAAGGTAGAAAACAGAAGGAAAGTATAAACAAAACCAGCTGAAAAGTGTATTGTGGAGTGGGAGATCATGGGGAGTGAAATGCAGGACCTATAATGGAAAAAGAGGGTGCATATCTTGTGTATATCTTGGAAGTCTAGCTTTGTAAGAAAGCTCATCTAACCTTAATATATAGCAACAGTCCACTTCAGTTGCAATATGTATTTTAAAATCACTATTGATTTTCACTACAAAAATAGTTCAAAAAAATCAAACTAAGCCACTGAAGTCAATGACAGAGGCCCCATTTTCTAAATGGAAGTAGAAAAAACACTATTTCTGTGAATGCAACCCCCCCCCAATATATAGGAAGGGCATGCCTGGGTAACAGTCTGTTGGGATTTGATCCTGTTTCAGTGAAGTAACCGAAAGGTTTGCATTGACTTCAGAATGAGCAGAATAGTCTTTCAGTGAGTTTGGAAGGAACTGGTCTAGGCCAGATCATAGTTTTCACTCATATAATATTGATGCTATTGCAAGAGACTTACCTTTTGAACAGGATTTTTTTTTTTTTTTTTGCTTTGAAAGCAGGCATCTGCTAATATTCCTTGCCTTTGCAAAAGCTGTGAGGCCTGTGAATGACCATGTTAAGCTCCAGATAGCTCTAGGAAGGAAGAGCCAATACTTTAAAAAAAATATTTGTGGATATTGCTAATCTCATCTCTTGATTAAGATGTGGTCTTTTTCCCAAAATAAACGTATTTTTCTTTTTACCACTTGGTTGGTCTTGAGATAGGAGGAATGTGCAACAGAAGTAGCTCATGTTTTGTTAATGCTAGTATTGGTAATGATAGTTCCTAATGAGCCCTGCTCTGACAAAGACTGTTTTATTTCCTTTTTCACATCGTAAAGAAGAGAAACTAAAAACACTCTTGCTACAGGGAAAAAGTTACATTGTTGAGTTTACATTATTATGTTTACATTGTTACAGGGGACATGTACATTTTTAAACTGGACTCTGCTTTTTTGGGTGCCCTCCCGTGACAAATTGCTGTAGTTACTTAATTGCTTCAAATCTGATCCACGCTGTAAAACTTTTTGTTATTTAAAACACAGCAGCATAAAGAAAATTTGGTCTCCTCAATTGCTGCTATTAGATGAGTTGCCCACAGGGCATGCTGTAGGAGCTGTATGTCCCCAAAATGGCTTCCCTTTTTTTCTCCTCTTCTAGTAGCTCTTTCATTTGAACTGATTAGGGATATGAAACTGTCTTAAACCTTTTTTCATAAATTATCCAATTCTTCCAATTTAGTAAGCATACCATAAAATAATATCTCTGGTAATATTTTGATACTTCAGTCTCCATACTGATTTAGAAGCAGTAATTAAGGTCTTGGTGAAAATTAAAAATAAAAATTAAATGTTTAATATGCATTAACATGCAGTAAACTCTATCTTTTCTAATCTCAGGGGAAAAAAAAATATTCCAGGTCTGGATTAAGTTTAATTTTTGGTGAATGGTGTGGTTCAGATCTCATTTAATCAAAAATTGATTTTCCCATTCCCATTTTAGAAAAAGTAAGCAGCTGTGTAATTTTATATGACTTGGAAAGGACCTATTCTATTTGTAGGATGAATTGTGTTTGTATTCTTTTGAGTTACTGTACCACTAGGAAGCTATGAATAATAAAAGTCTACAGAGGGTGAAACTAAATATTGTGAATTACATCTAACTTCACACATTTTCAGCTTTAAAAATATTTATAAACTACTGATAAGCTGGTAAATAACAACAATAAAAAAAATGGTGCAAGTACTGTGGAAACTGAAGATCCAGAAATGTGTATTTAAGCAGTTGGTGTACTCTTTATACCACTACAAAATTTATAGCGTTTCAAACACAATATATATATGCACTGTTACAGGTTTTGACTTCAATAACGGATAAAAATAACTCATCCCCTGTTTACAATATAATTCCCCAATCAATTGAATGCAAACCACAACAAGATAGTTGTGTTCACTTGTAGCCAGAATCAGTGTTCAATTTCCATGTAAACTTAGCTGACTCCATACAAATTTGTAGTCAGATAAACATGTAGACAAGGTCTAACAAGGCCCTAAGATTAAACATTTTGGCATAGATTTTTATATATTTTCAGGTTTTCCTATTTCATGTTTTATGTTGAACCCCAAAACAGTGAAATAATATGATATAGGTGCCCCAGCATGCTTAATCATTAATTATGCAAGTGCTATAATGTACATTTAACTTTTATTTATTTTTTCACTGTAACACATTTAATATTAGCTGCATCAGTTATAATATTTCTACTTTAAAGTTTTTAGGACAGATTTTTTTCTTCAACATATCTTGGGCCAATTCATCAGCTCCATGGGTGTTACATCATTGTTAATACTGAATTAAATTATGTGAAGGTCTGGTAAAGATATAAAATTTGGAAACAATTGGTATATACTTTTCAACTTGAAAAAACTTATTTAAGCATGATTGTTCTGAATATTTTATAGACATTATCCACATGAGCTCACAGTGCCCCTTAAAGCAGGAAAAGAAAAAAAAAAAAGATATATTTTTCTTCTGCTATAACAAATTAAATTTAGAAAATTATGCTCCTGAAAAAATTATTTAGTTCTGTACAATTAAGAAAATTACTCTAGCCATTAAGGCTTCTTCCCATAGAGCTTTTTTCTTTTGTCCTCATATATGTCATTTTGAGGAACAATTTTGGTCATCAGTTGACATTATTATTTTTGAAAATTTACCTTCACAATAAATCAAACACCCTAAACCTAGTTTCAATAGGTAACTATATTCCAGGATCATTTTTCATTTTCTAGAACCATTGAACTTTATGCTCTTTGAGGGATTTTCAAATGATTGAGATATTTTCTTTTAGATTTTTTTCTGCACTACATATTTCCCCTGTAAAAGTATGGAGAAAGCCTCAGTGGGAAAAAACATGGTTCCACTGAAGTCAAATTATCAAGGACTTCTTTGATTTCTCTTGTCATAGATCATTACAGGTAAATGTTGTGTACATTCCTTTTTAGAATCCCATATTTTTATACAAGTGAAAACAGGAAGCGCGATAACTAAGATAATTTCCACATTGCTCAGATGATACATCCTCAAATAATTTTACATCTTTGAATTTTAACATTGAAGCTTCCAGATTCAGGGAAGTAAAATGTGAGCTCTCTCTAGGGCATTTAAGCCATCTCAAAGACCTTTCTTTTGGTGTTTTAATTATAGTGATAAACTGATTATATGGAATTATACAATGGCAGAACATTCAGAAAGAAGAAAAATGAAGGGTCCCATAGAAACTATGAAATATTTATCTTTTTTCTAACTATGAACTCCATCATTCCATCTAGATTGATTAAATGCCACACTGTACAAAATAATTAGATATGGTGAGTAATTTAACACTTTTTATGAACATCTTTTCATATTCACTTCTACACTCATTTGTGTTTGCTTTTCATGGAGATATTGGCAAATTAGCTTAATAGTGAATAAATTAATTTTAAATTAACATTATAACAAAAGTTAACATTTAACTCATAAACGTGAATATTTTCCCTAGAAACCTAATTCTAAGAGTTCCCCTTATCATAACTAGAATTGTAGTTATATATCCATTGTCTCAGGCCAAATCCTCAGCTTATGTAGTATATATCCATTGACTACAGTGGTTCTATGCCACATTACACCAGCCCATTGTTAAATATTATTTATTAGTTTTAATGCTATGGCATCCAAATGAGTTAACTCCTTTATTTTGCTTAGTGTGGCAAAGTAGGGGTCCCTGACTAGCCACAGAGCTAGTTTCCCACCTGCCTCTGGGCATGCCACCCACCTGTTTCACCTTCCATGCCTTGTTGTAATTAGGTTGTTAATTAAGGTGGGAGGCTGCCCATTGTATGCCCAATTTTGTGGGCAGGGTGGCTATCTGTGGCTCTGTTCTACCCCTATACTGGAGCCCAAGCCTCACAGATGGCATCTCAGGCAGTTGGCTTAACTGTCCCCTTTGTTCATTAGGTGTGGCCCCACTCATGGGACCTTTGGCTTCCATATAAGCCTTGGTCCCATCTCAGGCCAGTCAGGACCCCAAACTTATTTGCTTATCATGGGCATCCCTCGTGGTGGGCCCCTGGACATTTTGACCCTGCCAGTCCTGGCCCCAGCATTGACCAGTCAAATCCCTCAATTAGGTTTATACCTACTGCCTGCATTCAGAGATTGGGGTCACCCATTCCCAGCTCAGGGGCTTCTGGAAGCATGCCTGGCCTTGTGGGGTCAGTACCCCAGCAGGCTCAGGCACTTCCCAAAGCTTACCTGGCCTACCCCGCTCTGATGCTAAATGACCCACCCCAAGCTGTACAGGAAGGTGAGGGCTGGGGTTAAGTCACCCCTACCCGCCTTTCCCCGGGGTGATAACTGGCTTGGCATTTCCTGGGGGCTCCCGTGCCACTGAGAGCCCCACCAGGCCACCCACTCCTGGCAAGGTGCAGTTTTAGGTCATGCCCAGGACCAGGAGCCTTCAAACCATCCCCTGCAGCTCCTGTTCTTACCTCCAGGATGTTGAATTCAGCCTAGTAACCAAGCAATGTTACTGCCTGGCTTGACAGTAGTGAACTGCTCTGTTTATATATGCAGCCATGGATCTAAAATGGCTGCCACATTTAAGCACCATCTGGCTGCTTGGCTCAGCCCTTAAAGTGGCAGGCATCCACAGTGCCCTGACACACTTAGCATTACACAAATCTATAAAGAACCCTTAAAATTGCACCCCCCTGCCCCCAAAGCCTGCAAACTATGAATAAATACATAGGATGGAACAGGAAATGGGAGAGGTGGTTAGCTGTATTAGTTTGAAGTCAAGTAGAAGGCAGGATAGATTTTCACCCTATAGACTAACCAAAGTGTGTGCGTGTGTATTCTATATGTAAAAGAAGAAACTTCTGACAGGATGAAAGCACAAAAAAAAAAAAAAAATAGCAAGTGACCAGTGTGGCTGCACAAGGAGCTTCTAAAAAGGAAAGTATACAGGCAATGGAAGAATGGGTCACCAGGTAATAACAAGAAGCTTCAGGGACAAAATGAGGAAGGCCAAGATAAAGAACAAGCTGCACTTGGCAAAGGAGGTTAAAGGCAACAAGAAGAAGTTCTATAATCATGTTGGCCAGAAAAGAAGGACCAAGAAAGTTGTGGATCCTTTGTTAACAAGCCAGGGGGAACTCCTAACAGAAGACAAAAAGAAGGCATAGCTATTCAACAGCTACTTTGCCTCAATCTTCACAAAAAAAATTAAGCTTCCAGACACCTAATAGGGATTATCTGGATCAGGAAGGGGGAAAGCTGAGGGTGAAGGTAACATTCATTTTGTTGGGTCTGAATTCCCTTATTCTCTAGTATACTTTATTTCTCCCTCTACACATCATTGATGTGGAAGAGCCACACAACTGTTTTATCATTGATGTTTGCCAGGTTCTCTTCCTGGGTGCATGGGTGCTCACATGTGAGGAGAATGTCAGCAGTCTATGGTGCATCACCACATTCACATATTGGACTGTCCTTTAAACTAATCTTATACAGGGTGCCATTAAAGTGTCCAGCTCCAGAGTGACTCCTGTTTAGTTTAATCCATAAATTGCAGGGAAACTTATACCCAGGTAGGTAGGGTGTTGGGTTGCTTATGAAGTGCTTGAGCGCTTGATATGAGAATCAGTCTCATTCCACTTTCTGTGGTGTTGTTCAAGCACTCATAGGATGTTGCTCCCACCTCCACTGTTGCAGCAATACCTGTGCCTCCTGTCTAAATGAGTTTCTCAATTTTAGTCACTTATGTACTGGTTGCTTCAAGACTTCATGAAGCAGGTGCTCCTGGTTTTGTTGGGAGCTCTGAGCAAGGACAAGAGTTGCCTTCTATCTTCTTAGTTGGGGAGGTCCTGTTCTTGATAGTATTGGCAGTATGTCGATAGGCATATATGTTACACACCCTGCTACTATTCTCATTGCTGAGTTCTGGATTACATCCACTCTGGTGGAGTGGCTACTGTGTCCCCATGCTTGAAAGAAGTAGTCAGCAGGTGTGTATACAACTACAAGAGTTCTTGTCCTTAGAGTGGTGAAATTGGCTCCCCCAGGTTGTTCCTGCCAGTCATCTTACAGCACCAATGCAAGAGTTAACCTTCTTAGATGTTTTCAGTAGGTGTTCTCTGTAAGTAAGGCTCCTATCCATAGTTACTCCCAGGTACACTGGGTTATCTGTGAAGGAAAGAATGAATTCAAGTCAGCAGGTCTAGATGAGTTTCCTTCCAGGGTCCTGAAGTAATTGACAGAGGAGATTTCGGAGCCCTTAGCAATGATCTACATGAAGTCATGGAAGACAGACCACATAACAGAGGACTGGAGAAGGGCCAGTGTAGTGTTCCTGTAAAAAAAAGCAAGAAAGAGGGCCCTGAGGAACTACAGACCAGTTAATCTCACCTAAGGGCAGTAAAGGAAATACTGTGGATATCATGCATCTAGACTTCAGCAAGGATTTGATAAGGTCCCACACAACCTTCTTATAAATAAATCAGAGAAATGTAGGCTGGATAAAACCACTACAAACTGTACAGATAACTGGCTCAATAGCTACAACCAAAGGGTAATTATTAAAAGGTCCATGTCAAGATGTCAGGAGGTTTTGAGTGAAGTCCTACAGGGCTCTGTCCCTGGCCTCATCCAGTTCAATGTGCTTATTATTAGTTTGGATTCTGGCATAGAAAGATTCTTGATGAAGTCTGTGAATGACATGACACTGTGAAGAACTGTGGACACATTGGAAGATGCAAGTGCAATTCAGAACAATCTTGACAGCTTGGAAAGCTGGCTAGGGCTAACAGGATAAAGTTCAATGCAGACAAATGCAAGGTGCTGCACCTCAGAAGGAATAATAAAAAACACAAATACAAAATGGAGGATACTTGGATGGATGGCAGCTCTATGGAAAAGACTTGGGAGTCTTGGTAAAACGCAGACTGATTATAAATGTACAGTATAGTGCAGCTGCACAAAAGGCAAATGTGGTTTTGGGATGAATCAAAAAAGTATTAGGTGCAAGACATGGGAAATGATAGTGCCTCTATTCAGCACTGGTTAGGCATCATCTGGAGTACTGTGTGCAGTTCTGGGGTCTATATTTTAAAAAGGATGTGGAGAAGTTTGAGAGGGTCCACAGGTGGGCAACAAAAATGATCAAGGGCTTGGAAGGCAAATCACACAAGGAGAGGCTGAAGGAGCTAGGTATGTTCAGCTTGCAGAAAAGGCAGGATATGATATCAGTCTTCAAATACTTGATGGGCTACCATAAAGAAGAGGACAGCCTTTTCTCCCTTGCTGTAGAGTAGGACAGATCAAAGGCTTGAAGTTGCAGCAAAGTAAATTTAGATTGGATATCCAGAAAAAAACTGTCTTCACTGTTAGACTGGTGAGTCAGAAGAAAAGACTGCCTAGGGAAGTTGTGGACATCTCTGGAGGTATTCAAGAAGAGGTTCTAACCAGAGCCAGTGGTTGGAGATGATCTTGGTGTAACTATCCCTATTTTCTACCAGGGGTATTTCCCATGCTTCTGGGTTTCACTGGTTGGTCCTGTTCCCCACCCTCCTTTTTTTGCTATATGTTTTGGGGTGTTTTTAATCTTCCCCTAGAGGCATTGGGTGTTGGCTACAGCTACTTCAACTGAGGTGCACCAATTCTTCTGCTAGGAGCCAAGTTGGAGACACCTGGCTAGAGGGTCTTGTCCCTCTGCCCAGGGTCAGATTGACTGCCATATTTGGTGGCAGGAAGAAATTTTACCCCATGATCAGATTGGTACAGACTATGAGATTGTTTGGGTTTGTTTTTTGGGGTTTTTTTTGCCTCCCTCTGTACAGGGGAGCATGGCCCTCTACTTGGGACCTCTTGAGCACATATTGACAACAGTTTATATTGGCTGCTATGGTTTCCCTGCTTCATCTGTAGCAGGTTAGGGTGCTAGGTCTATGTTGTGTCAGGCTTGAGGGTGTCTTATGTAGAGTTTAGATTATGGTTGTATGGCATGGTTTGGATAATCCTGCCTCAGGCACGGGGTAGCATTAGATGACCTCTGAAGGTCCCTTTCAGCCCTACTTCTCTATGACTCTCTCTCTCTTTCTCTCTCTAAATATAGCACAAGTTTTCATCAGCTGAAGCTTGCTTCATCAATACTGTGAAAGAACATGAAGAAAGCAGAGTATAAAAAGAAGAGAAAATTTAGAATCCAAAAAACAAGAAAGGTTGGGAGAAATAGAGATATGGGGAGAGGGAACAATGCTGGAGGAGACAGGCAAACAAGCAGGAGACCCATTGAAACAAAGGACTCACCAAAGTTAACCCAGGTATTGGGATAAGAATCCATAGTCCCTGTTTAAACCACACTTAACGCAATCCAGTCTGTGAATGATTTTTTATTCTTGAAGAAAAACCTTCATAAAAAGGTGTATTTCAATTGACTTCAATAAAATTAATTCAAAAGCATTTTACACACCCCTTTCCTCCCACTAGGATTCTAACCCACTTTGTTCAATATTAGCTCTACCCCAAAACAATATTGCATAGTCACAGACTTAGGTTAAACCATGCTTTATTTTTTCCTATGTTCCTTTAAATCCTCAAGGCAAGTATAATTACAAAATCTAAACTTCTAGTAGTAACTAAAGGAAGAATTCCAGGAAACATATCAGAAGTCCTGCTTCAGGCAAGAAGATCCTTTCTGCTCCTCCCACCTTGATTCTGATACTGGTATTGAAAAATGCCTGGGGCTGAGAACATTGTCTTCATTTACTATAATCTCTGATGTGTTGTGAATGCCTGAAGAAAAACAAGAGCCACAAGAAACCCCACTAACACACCTATCAATGCACCTCAGTATGCCTTTGGCTTTCTTTGAAACAAAGGCACACTGTTGGCTCATATTCAGTTTATTGTCCACTGTAACCCCCAGGTCCTTTTCTGAAGAGTTGCTGCCTAGCCAGTCAGCCCCCAGCCTGTACCGGTGCATGGGATTGTTCTGTCCTAGGTGCAGAACTTTGCACTTGTCCTTGTTGAACCACACAAGATTCCTTTTAGCCCAATCCTCAAATTTATCTAGGTCACTCTGAATCCTAGCCCTATCCTCCTGGGTATCTTCTACTCCCTGCATCTTGGTGTTATGTACAAACTTGCTGAGGGTACATTCCATCCCATCTTCCAGATCATTAATGAAGATATTGAATGAAACTAGTCCCAGGAGTGACCCCTGGGGCACTCCACTTGATACTAGCTGCCAATTAGACCTCAAGCTATTGATCACTTCTCCTCCCCCATTCTTAAGCATAGGCGATACATAAGGGGGGCATGGGAGGGCATGCACCCTGCCTGAGATTGCTGCTGCTGCTGCCAGCATTTGTGGGTGGTCACCGCTTGCCACCTGCCCCCCCCTCCCCCCCCCCCCTGCCAACACCTCTGCGGCTGCGTGTGAGCAGTCCCCACTCGGCCTGCCCTTACCGCAGATGTCACTGTGGCTGTCTGTGGGCAATTCCTGCTTGCTGCTGCCACGCCCCTGGTG